GCGTCGAGTAAAAGTTTGTAAAGGCGGGAATGGTTTTTGCTGCTTTCGACTGTTTACAAAATGGAGCCGGCATCAAAACAGATTTTCAAATCTTAGTCAAGAAATAGACGAAATGGTTGTCAACAAAGACTTGGAAAACACTAACAAAGCTACAAAGACTGCTTCGGGAAACATCAGCGGTCTCGGGACCGCAAAACATACTGTTTCCCTCAGTTCCAGTAAATAAGTGTTAAATGGAAAACCTTCGAATTCCTTAAAGAGCGAAGCAACAAAATCCTTTGACTTTTAAAGCAATAACACACGATAGAGTTGTTTCGGAATTTTAGATAAACATACTAAAACCTTTGGCTTTTAGAGAACGAAGCAACTTACACACGATAGAGTTGTATCGGAATAATAGATAATATACTAATAGAAAACCTTTGCCGCTTTTAAGAACGAAGCAATAACACACGATAGAGTTGTATATTGTAGCATACCATTGAAGATTGGCGTGAACTATGCCGGCTGTATTAGGTTATTAATTTTCATACCACTTCAAGAACAACGGTACGGTATTAAAAAAAAGAAATTGTAAGGATAAAGAATCGAGATCAAAAATGCCTGTACGAGCTTTCCGTGAAAGCTAAAGGGATCTTTCTCAAGCATTATCAAACTAGTCTCGTCCAAAAATTGTTGTGCAGTCTGTACTCTATATTGTATGCATCTAATTTGCTTGAATAAATGAATTCTGGGAAACACTCATTTCTCCTCTCAATGGTGACTCACAAAACGGAGTAACAGTCACTTGTAAAACATCTACTGATGCAAACAAGATCAAGAGTTGCTTTACTAAATTTCATTAAAATATATATGTCAAAAGCACTACATCCGACGTTGTTAAACTACATATTTGCCTTTGCACATCTGAATGATTGTGCAGAATGCTTAAGGGGATTGTCATTGTATAAAAACAAGTGCAGCACCTGAGAGATACCATGTCATTTTCTACTATTGTGGCATTGAACTAGCTTTCACTTCTGTTAGAACAGTTTCAGCCGCGTGTTTGTGAGGATTTGATTCATTACGAGGCATTTTGACTGAGTGGAGTGGAGAGTTTGGTCTGAAATTAAACACTTGATTACAATATCGCGAGACCACATAGTGGGAAAGCAACTTATCATTGCAAGCTTGATATTCTTGTCTTGTAAAAAAAGCCATCGCCACCATGTTGGATGAAAATCACAAAGCATTCCTAATTAATTTCTCTTGTTCATTCATCCAATATGGCGGCGATGGCTGTGTTCTTTATAGTCTCAGGGGATTCTTGATCACGTGGTTGGACTCCAAGAATTGTTAAAAAAAGTCATTGCTAATTTTAGGAGATGCATCCCATTTTTAAAACGTCTTAGTTACATTAGGGATTCCGAACCATAACGTACTATGTTAATAACAAAGGATGATCTCAATAACAACGACCTCACGTACAAATATTTCACAGCTCTCGATGGCAAAGAAGATATCAGTCTSCCATCAGACCAGGCAAATGACTTCATGACGCCCCTCAGCAGAGCAAAACGAGGTCTATACCATGAGTGCTACGAGGAGTCTCCTTGTGATTTCGAGGAAGTTGAAGAGGTCTTAGGTCGAACTGAGCGGGCGGTGAGTAATATTAACTAAAGGTACCCTGACCAAAGCGGGCTGGAACGTAGGTGCTACGGTTTTTTTGTGCTGCTGTTTCATGTCTTTAACCCGGGGTCTTTAATTCCCTGGGAGACTCGCAAATAAAGGAATCATCACTGTCATTGTTGTTTACTTTATTATTTTTTTAATTTATTTTATTCTTTTTAATTTTAGTAGTGTATTCCGGTCGAAATAYCTTTTTAAACAATTTTAGTTTTCCGTCTTGCTTTGTTAATTTCGTTTTTGTTTTTGCTCGTATTTTTGGTGGTTCACAAGATTTTTTTTGTTAATTGGTTGTACTGTAATATCCATGTTCTGGAAGTTATTGTCAACGTGTTATTAGTGMATTTTACTTATGTGATTAGAATAGTGTTCACAAGGTTAGAATAAGAAGACCTAATTGATAATAATCTTTATATTTCAGTACGAGTATTACTACACCTTTACATGTCGCAAATATGGCAGGAACTGCAAAGGTAAAAAGCTGCCATCATTGCTATTTTTACCCTCGATAAACTAAGATTGCTTTGGCAAAGTTCATTTTGTATGTAAAAATCAATGACATGCAATAACAATTACGACATTGATAGCCCTTCCCTCCACCGACAATTTTAGAATGCAAGACGATGTTACAACGAACCACTTCCTGATTTAGACTATAATAGACTATAATATGTTTTTTTTACCATTTCTATAGTCAGATGTCAATACCGCCGAGATTGCTCGTTCGGCTCATGGGGAAGCTGGGCCGGTAATGGGAACTCTGAATGCTACACCCAAAGGCGTTCTAAGCCTTACAGGTATTCTATCCAAACAACATTTAGAAGATGGAACTGTAATGGACTAAATACCAAGTGCCCAGTCAACCCTACTGAAAGCCGGCAGTACTGTAAGTAGCATGTGAATTAGATTAKTCTTAGATGAMTGKTTTTCGTCTGGGTAAATTGCATTTGATTTGGTCTAACTCGTGCCAAAAAGTTTCCTTAAGGCTAGTGGCCGCAAGTTAAGGCAACTTAAGTCGACTAAAGGAAATTTGGATGATAATTAGGTGGGGTCCCTTGGCGACTTAGCGCGTCTTAAGGCGACTTAAGGCAATTTTCTGGCCCGGAGTAGCCCTTAACCACCGAACCATATCAGTTATTTAGAAAGCTAAACCTTCCTTCTAAATCCACATTTCTCAACTTGATTCAGTGTGATAATACATGGTTTATGTTTCATATGAGTCTATATTCAAAGCAACTGATACTGTGACAATGCGCTCTTTTCATTCAGGTGTTTGTAAGAAAGCCCTGTGCTCTCRGGGYCAGTGGACATCATGGTCTGGCGACATCCGTCAGGGGGAGTGTGGAGAACAGAGAAGAAAGCGGCCATATACGGTTTCTTGGACAACTGAACAGCAAATCGGCTCTTGTAGCAACGTTCCTAAAAAGTGCGGATCACCAATCACTGACATAAGAAAGAGATGTAAGAGAGATTAGACGTTCAACATTTTAGCTTTTATGGCGAAGATGAATTTCTTGCTTCGCAAAAATATCGAAAATGAGAATGTATCATTCTATTCGTTTTACAACCAAAATTACCTATTTAATGATAATAATAATGATATCTAATTGATTTATGTCGTCCAATCTCTTATTCCCAGGTAGTTGTAAGAAAGCTGTTTGTTCTCTTGGAAACTGGGGCAAGTGGTCAGGCTCTGTATCTCAAGGAAATTGTGGAAGTCAGACAAGAACTCGTTCTTATGATAAAACATTTGTTTATGATGAGCGAAGTGATTGTTCTGGAGTCTCTCAAGACTGTCCTGCACCACTCACAGAAAACAGAAAACATTGTAAGAAAATCAATATTTATTGATTCGGTGATTCTCTTATCGATTCTATGATTGTTTTTTCAGTATACAGTATTTTTCAGCATCTCTAGAAGCTTCTGATAAACTATAAACTCAGTTAATTTGCCGGATGGTTTCGGCTTCCCAAAAGATACCAGCAAGTTTTGTCGATATCCTTGACGGACAATGAACAGACAAACGCACAAGGCTGGGCAACATTTTTCCAAWCCAAAAGTCCATAAAAAATCAAACAGATAATTTGTCATTTTTGTTAATGTATGGTGCTACCCTTGAGGTTTCAGCCAGCGCGTGTTGGTGAGATTAATTTTTTTGCTTTAGAGATAATTGTACAGCAAATTCTTCCRTTTAAAGGTAGCTGTAAGTATGTAACATGCAGGCTTGGTGAATGGTCCGATTGGGWCCCAAAGAACCTCGAGARSGGCTCTTGCGGTCAGAAGCAGACTCGTAAAAAAACCTATCAAACGTCWCTGGCTTATCAAGATCACGTGGGTGATTGTCCGCCACTTCCTCAGAAATGTCCTGATGACGTAGTGGAAAAAAGAGAACAATGTAAGCCCTGATTCGCTGCTGCTTCTATATATTGATTCTATATTTACAAAATCTTTACCAAGTTTAGAAATATTAACGTTTCAGATGTCTGAATTAACAATTATTTCTATTCCCATAGGTATGTGTGCTTATCGCGACTCGTGCACCTTAAAGGAATGGAGTAAATGGAGTGAGGATGTCACAGAAGAAGGATGTAAAATYCAAACCCGAACAAGAGCTTATGTATCTCCACTGAAGTACGCACAGGGTGATAGCTGTAAGGAYATGAACACAAAWTGTATTGAAGAACCAAAGGAGACAAGAACATTTTGTAAGTTCTAGAATTGCAGACACTTATTAGAAAACACGTGATCAGATTCAAAAAGATGATATTAATAAAGTTAAGACTAAAGCCATAYTGGACTTGGTCATTCCTAACATTCTCTGAGACGATGTAATGCTACCTTTCGATCTTGGYTTCAATGTTGTAGTCTTTTTGGACCCGAAAGTGTAACTGCCTCTTCTGTTGCTGTTGTTGTTACTGTTKATTTCGTTGCTAGTTCTGGTTGTCAGTGCTCCATCTCCTACTACTGTTGCTGGGACACTTCTTCGCCTAAGAACTTGTATATTTTTAAATATGTGATCTTGAATTAACAAAAGTCTTAAATATGATTTAAAACAATGAAAAACACAACAGTTCAGCTCATCACGAATTAGGGAAATCAGAAACKTAAAGGAGTTGGRAATAGACCTAATCGGCTAACGCGTTGCTATAAACGTTTCCACCCAATTCAAACCACCCTGGAGTAAGTTTCATTGTTCTTTGTATTTTCATTTCACASWTGAATTCTTAGAAACAAAAGTTCTTTTTCYCACAGGATTTGAATTGGGTGGTAACGTRCATAGCAACGCGTTAGCCRATTAGGTCTATTGGTTTTGAAATGGACTTTTTTCTTCTCAATCAGGTAAATGCAAATATGTCAAGTGTGAGCTTGGSGACTGGAGCGAGTGGAGTAAACTTGACGTCAGTGCRGGATCATGTGCAGAGCAAACTAGAACCCAGTCTTACAGAGAGGAAGAAGCATTCGTTGATCAAGTTGGTGACTGCAATGGTCTGGCAACAGTTTGTCCGGCCGACAACCAAGAAAAACGATCCATGTGTAAGTCAATAGCATGCAGATCTTGGCATATCGGCGCTTTTTAAACATAATTAGTTTTGTTCGGGTTGCGGTTACTATACTTTTAAAGCGTACGCTAATCACGGAGATGTCACTAAGAATAAGGATTTTAGTATAATATTTTGTCTGAAGTATTTCTGTTCATGACTATTTGTATTCACTTATATAGGCAAATGTAAAACAGTAACTTGTGAGGTTGGGGACTGGGGACCATGGACTGGTAAAATCCCAATAGACACGTGTTCGTCACAGGAACGTAAAAAAGGCATCGCTATCACTAACAATCTTCAATACCAAGAGAATACTTGTGATGGACTGACAACTTCATGTGGAGAACCACCAAAAGAAACTAGAAAAATGTGTAAGTACTTGAGTAGATGAACTTTAATACTTAGAGATATTCAATTACGTTTATGTGCCAATCATAAAGTGGCGGGTAAGTAAAAATCAAATAAAGGAAATCCATCATAAAAAAAGCAATTATAAAAAAACTTGATAACATATTCACACATTTCTGCATATTCCAGGCAAACATTATGCCAAAAGTCTAATTACATCTTATAGGTAACTGYTCTTACCGAGAGGATTGTACTCTTAAGGAGTGGGGTGCGTGGAGCGGTGATGTTCCTGAGGTTGGTTGTGTAGCTCAGACCAGATCACGTGCGTACAATAAAACCATCAGTTACATTGAACATGAGTCGTGCAGTGGCTTTGACGTTTGCCCGGTAATCAGAGATGAAACGAGAACTAAATGTAAGTACTGTTGTTAATACTATCATGAAAGTAAAACCATTCACTTGATCTCACTAGTGTTTGGATACCTTAGGCAAAGTTTTACAGGAATTCCATAGCAAAGTTTCCTAGTTATGGAAAATGATTGCAAAGTGCCTGAATAAATATGTAGGCTTTTATATTGACCGTTACTACTGTCGTCATTGGCCAGGGCATTGCTTTCTAATCCTCTAATATAATAAAATTTAAGGTAACTGTAACGAAGTGGTGTGCAAATGGACGAATTGGTTCCGTGCGGGCTACGATGAAAAAACCAAATGCTATGAGTTAATGCGCGCGAAGAATGTATCAGCAGGATTCAGGAAGATCGAGAAGTTTGGCAGCTGTAATGGAATCAACACGATGTGTTCAATAAAAGAAGTGGAAAAGCGGAAAGACTGTAAGTAATTATATCWGTGTTTTATGACTATACATTCAATGAACCATGGCGAAATAGATGAGTGCAGACAAGAGATCGGAGTTTATCTATGAAGTTATATCCAACTAAATAACTTTTTAATAACTAATTTTCTCGGTCTCTGTTTAATAATCATGTGATACTACTTTCAGTAGATCGGCCGAGTGTGTGCGTTGATGTTTAAAAGTGTACCTTACTGTGTTGTTCTATTTCAGGTGTATCTGGAGGCGGTGGGCACGAGATTATTACCAATCCTCCTCCAACAACAGAGAAACCAACAACGCTGGCTCCAACTACACCATGTAAGTCAAATTCATTGTATTTTGAACGCTTCTACYAATTCTTTTCTATTGAGAGCGTTATAAGAAGAAGGTATTTTGGCCTCACCAAACGCCACGACCTACATCGCCTAAACCAATCATGTAATTTTGTTAT